AAGCAATTTTGATACCTGTAGTTTTTTTGGGGGTCCGAAAAATGCACGCTGGTGGCGCGCGCGGTGGCGGCAGTGACATCCACGCTTCGCCGCCGATGTAATTTCGAGTTCTACCTTAAATCAAATGCAAGAGAGGGGGGCAATTCCCCACCGAATTATTCTAGCCCATTGGCGGAACCAACAATGCCACATTTTACGACCATCCGAGTAGCCGCTACGCTCGGTGAGAGATGGCGGTCTATGTCCCAAACGATATCTCCCGACCCAGTGATCAATATTACCTCGGTGGTGATGGCCGTATAAGTGACTAAAGGCTTTTGTCATAATGTACGTCTACCTTTACATCAAAGCACGCGGCGCACCCTCTCTAAGTAGGCTATTTTGTCCACCCCTAAGACCTCCGGCGTCGACTGGACACTTTCCCCTAACGCAGATGCCAAAACCCCATCCCGCCATTACTGGCACTAGTAATCCTCAGCAGGCAAGCCTCTATAAATTACCGCGGCGGTAAAGCCGGCTGAGTGAACAATAATATCGGGGTAATTGCAGCGCACCGCAATGTGTATTCGCCGCGCTGAGGGGACACATAAATTCGGATAAAAAGGCGAGCAGTAAGTCAAGAAAATGAAAAGAAGACAGGGAAGAGCAGATGTTGGTGATGATGGGGGTATTAGTCACTCATCGCGCCGACAATCCCTCCCCACTCTCCCGCCTGTACCCGGGCCTGATCCCGGGACGCACCGATATGAAATTAGAAATATGGCGAGGATTACACAATTTCTGCGGGAAGAGACGGTAGATGGGGCATTAATATTGCACGAATATCCACCACTGGATGGATGCGTCTGTCTTCTTTATAGCCGAGAATCGAGTCGTCTGTCCTGAAGTTGAGTGAACCATTTTGAGTGACAAACGATGAGACCACTGATAACTCAATCTCCCAGCACACAGTTTTCTCCACCGCCAAGACAGCAGGGAGAGAAGCCTTTATTTCTCCACGTAGATTTTACGGTTGCCTATGGCCGTTCAATGTGGTATATTACAGCTCTCTTGAAGAGAATAAATCGTCAGTTTTACAACTTGTGCTGCGGAAATGCGGCCCTAACTGCCCCTCTGCAATGCCGGTGTCTTTAGAAAAGAAACGGTGGAAACTTTTAACAAGATTTAAACGCTAATCACCTCCCCTATTCTGACAAGAAAAATAGCCTTACACACTGACGCAGGTAATCCTACGACTAATGGCTCTTCCACACACTGTGTGCATCTCTCACCCACATGGTTTACTGCGAACAAAAACAAAGATCCTGTCGATAGAAATGCTTTCTCATCCCACCATTTGAAAAAAAAGTATAGGACATTAGAATCTAGCGGGTCATACCAGAAGAAAGGAGGGCCATCTGTCTCGAGTAAAACTTTGAAAGGAAAATGCAATTTTGGGGACAAATTGGCTCGAGTGAGCCATCAAACAATGACAAACGAGCGGACCAAGTCTGGCGCTGCCGGGGGCGCGGTTTTTGCCTTCTCGGCTCAGTGGGATCCTCGATGTATCGACTGGAGCTAAGAATGTGTATCAAACTTGACAGAAACAAAGTTGAGGCAACTTAGCCACAGATGCCCCCGGGGGAACGTAAGCTCTTCGCACAGAATCCACGGCTTTCTCTGTCGCGAGCTAAGGCAACCGTCTTGTCACTACGCTATGTAAATGGTTCCAAATGGCCAAATTATGGTAATGGAGCGCGGATGACTGAGTGTTTCAATTTCTAGGACCTTTAAAGCCACCTCGTATGGATCATTGAGTTTAACCCTCGAAACTAGGCCGTAATTCCCCTGCCAATAATCACGCTACCGTAAGGGGACACTGCCCCTGATGTACGGCGAACATTGCCATAATGGCGGTAATACATAAACCTAATTGTTTGTTCTGCCAATAACATTAATCCATTTCTATGGAAATTTGATGGGATTTCCCCCCATCTTTAATGAACCGGATTTGGAGGAATTAGCACTGAAAACATACTTAAGTCAATTTCTTTTTCAAATTACTATTTCAACGTACGGTAACTGCTCGACTGTAACTGACTGAATCTGAACTTGACTTAATAATATATATTAAATAATATAATATAGTATATGAAATAATATACTATATAGTATAACATTGATGTACATATTATGGTTTTTATTCTTTACTTACTGGCACGCAAGTACTGTTTTGGGGTGGGTTGTGTGTGGGCTTGTATGTTTGCTTGTCCGGACAGAGTAGGTTGACAACACATGGGTGGAGGATTGACAGGTAGAATGACAGGAGGGCAAAAGGTCAGACACAGGAAATAGGGTGAACTTGAGACCAGGTTGACAGCACGCGGGTGGGCAGAATGACGGGAGGTCAAAAGGTCAGGCAAAGGAAGCGGGATGCACTTGAAGGTCATGACAAATTCAAAATACTTCCCGATTTCTTGTTATTTTCTTTTTCCAAACTCTCGGTGTCTTTGTAAAGATTTTGAATGTATCAAAATGAAACATTGGCGACAGCCATCCCCGGTAAAATAAAATGAATTATAGGACTCGCAATAAGGCAAAATAAATCGCCAGAGTACAGCACTCCGGGAATTCGAAACAATAAAGAAACAAAAATCCGTCAAATGCCACTAACTCTGCAGCGGTTTTATAGGGGGAGTTTTAAGTTCAGTCGGAGAGTAAACTCCCAGGCTTGTCCCATCCCTGCACCTGTGTTTTATTGTGATAAAACGCCGTTTTGATATTGCCTAACAATACCGCCGCTATCTGCAGAAATACATCATGATTACTTGTCATATGAATTGGTTCTCGTATTACAATAAACACGCACGTGTTTGTTACACTTGGCTGCTGATATGCAGCTTCGCATTTTTACCTGTCGTGTTCTATCATTCGTCTTTTGTCTGTGACTGCTGCGCTTTGTCTCGCTGTCTGAAGACGAATGTGAACCCAATGTGTTCATATGCATTTAGTAATTACGACAAATAGTCATCTGATTGATTAGACCAAAATGACAACCTACAGCTTGGGGAGACGGATGCTGTAAAAAGTTTATTACCTCGACGAAACGTGAGCTTAAAATAAAGCTCGTTCTCTTTTGTTGATGATGGTTTACACCTTGTATCAGGCTTCCTGATCTAGGATTCTTGATCACATGGCAAGTGTTATAACTATCTGGAAGAAATCACAATTCTTGTTGTCAGAGTGTAGTGGGTATTGTCATTTATTTTCATTCAACCATAGGCAAGCTGCTGGGTGGATGGCCCATAAATATCCGGCCCATAAAAGCGTTGTGAGACATAAAAACTATAACTGATGACTTCCACTTGAATGCACTGTCAGGGCCTGGAGAATGGTTGTCGTGAATAATTTGGTTATAGAGGCTGAGTTTTTGGGTAAGGCGATGGATCCACAATGTCTTGACGTCCTTCATTTGATATATATATATACATCGCTGAGGTCGAACCAAGTTAATTTCTTGGTTAACGGATTTTTCTAGAAAAATAATGGAGCGGGCGGGACGAAAAAAATAAAAATAAAACAGGCCTAGGCATCCTATTATGGCCCAAAATGGTACGATAGGAGCCATGAAGTCAACACACCAGGCAGGTTCAAAATTTAAGCAATGAATTTTGAACTTTTAATGATACCACTGCATTGAAAGATGGAATAACTGTAACAACTAGGACTTTTCAACTGTTCAGGGCAAAATATTAGCATTTTGCAGTTGATTCTAAATTTTTATTTTTATTTGCAAATCAGAAAAAAAATGAAGTGGGTGAATCCGTTGACCAAGAAATTAAATTGGTGTGGCCTGAGGAAGGGAAATAGTGCAGGAATAGTTTGAGCTGAAATGTTCAGATTTCTTTCTCTTCTTTTTTAATTGTCAGAGCTGCTCTGCATTTCTATTGAGTCTTGTTGTCTTGCCGTTGACGTTGGCATGCAAAAACACATGACTACATCTTTGTTTGTTTGTTTGTTGTTGTTTTTTTTTTCAAAGAAAAGGGCACTAAGGTGAGAGAACAGGGCAGAACGCAGACGGTTATCACGAACGCATTTTGTTGGAACCCACCATTCCGAATGGGTGGGTGAGTTAGCTAGTGAGGTAGGTAGTGGTTTGTGCGTGTGTAGGTTCGTGAGTATGTCAGTGTGCGTGCGTCCTTGCGTCAGTGTGCCTTTTCGCACGTGTTTATATGTACAGGTAGGCGACAGCTAACAAAGTAACGATCATATATCCTGCGAAAAAAATGCTTTCCGAATGTTTTCATAACAAAATTCAAATTCGGTAAGCTGGTACCTCAGACCTAGCCTGGGTACCATCCCCTGTAGTTTCCGCCGGCTCCCTGATGTAGCCAGCAACATTAGGGAGCCGGGGAAATTACGGAGGGTGGCACCTAGGCTACCTCAAACCTCGTAGAGATTGGTTGCTTGTACTGTTCTGCGGTTCCATCAAAGGGTGCCAGATGTCTCTTCTGGTGGTGTGCCAAGTTCAGTGACAAAATCCGGCCACGTAGCCCCCATTTTATCCCGATTCACTCTATTCCCACCTGAAACGTTTTGCATGGCCAGCGCAAGGCAGCGATACAGACATAACTAGTAGTTGTATACTAGTATATAACACATTGATATGGCACGAAATAAGGTAGGAATGAAGGGAGGAAGAAGGGAGTAACTTTAAACATACCTGTGTCATTGAAGTAGTTGTAAGCGAGCAACATGCCTACAAAAAAAAGCTACAACCCAACTCTAAAATGCTTCGGAAGCAGGAGACTGCAAAAAGTCTTTTTAAAAGTTTTAGTGGGCCAGTCACTCTCGCATATCATATATTATCTGTCTTTTAGGCTAATTTCTCATCTTCCCAACCACCTGGGAAGCCTGGTAGAGGCTAACCTGTTAGTCCCCTTGTTCGATGGTGATCAACCTGCTAAGCAGTGCATTACCGCCACCTAGCGGTTTGTGTTAGAAGCGCTGGTTCTGCAACAAAGGATGCCGGGAATGCCATACCCGGAAGTGTCCTGGCAACCCAAAAGTAAGTGTGTGCAAAGTTGTCTTACCACGTTTCCTTTTAACCTGTAACTTTTCGTTGCGTGTTGTCGGCGCCACGGTCACTGAAGAGGTACACATACAGAACTGGTCTGGTCTGGTTTCTGCTGGCTGCAGCTGGTTCGTCCTTTGAGGTAAATTACGTTGTACGTCGACGAAAGTTAGACATCCAGGTAATAAGATACGTGGACCCCGTCTAACGACATAATATTAATAAATTAATAGACGTTATATGTTTAACAAGGACAACAACAACAATTACTCAAGCAACTGGATATGATTTTGTATACGATTTTCCAAAATCATATCCAGTTGCTTGAGAAACTGTTTTTTTGGGGGGGGCGTAAATTACGTTGCCCTGATTATACTATAAATAGGTCACAAGTCCGTAATTACGGGGTCTGAGTATTTATCATAATTACTGGATTCTCCTAACAACAGACTGCAACTCCCTGCCAGAGTGTGGTGGTAAACCAGTTCGAGACAAATTTAGACAAACACTGGGAGCACCTGGGGTTCAAGCACGTCGGAGAAGACTAGACCGGCTCACTACATACACGCGAAACCTTCCTCAGCCGTATCCGGTATCAAGAACCCCTATTGTAGTATTTCAGGGCGATCGCAGTGCCTAGTTAATACCTTTGAAAATAATTTTTCTCTTGAAAGTTTTGGTCCATTTGGGAGATTTTGGGGCTGAAAGGCACAGGTAGGGTCTAGACTTTCCTACTTTGGTCAAAGTTTGTTTATTTCACCAGTTTTGGGCGTAGTGAGAGATGTGAGTGGTTAGGTCTTGTCTGGCCAGAGCGGATGGATACCGTGGAAAAGTAGGTCATAGTGGAGGTTTTGTTACTATCATCAGCTGTGGCGGGAATGTGACCTGGTCGATCCTCTGTTTCCTTTCTATATTTAGGAATCAGACCCCTGTGGCTACCTGGTGCAGAAGAATTTTTGAGATTGAAATATGGGCAAGTACTTTTCATGAGGACTTCTAATAGTGTATTTAAGCATGTGTTCCTATGGACAAATCTAATAGTACTGTCTGCCCTGTTCAGATGCTCATACATGCGATGTACCATGATAAGTGATTAAGTGATCTCCTATAAGAACATGAACTTCTTTTATTTTGTAAAAAAAAAGGAAATAATTCAGCAAAAACTCAGGAAATAACACCAGAACTCATACATGGCATAAAGCATGGACAGGTGTGTGTTTACGTGTTCGGGGTGGGGGGTGGGGTGAAAATAATTGAGAATTTCCTCGTTGTTGCCGTCATTTGCCACAACGTACCTCTCTGAAAGTCATAATGCAAACCCACAAATAGCTGCGTGGATGTAGTATGGCTTGGGTGCAGCACACTAGGCTCAAAGTTAGCCTGTGCCTGGGTGTCTAGCACTGGGTATTACTTTGGGCCCAGTGTGCTATGGGTCTGGCATCCAGGTTAGCGTATTTGCTGTATTTGCATGTGTATGCATACCAAGGAGGTCATATACAGCCTGCAACACACTCATTATCATCTGTTCCCACATTTTCCAAATACAAAAAAGCGAGAAGTTGACCACTCCGTATTAGCTCAGTAACTAGAATACCTTGTATTAGCCTAGTATAGTTCCCTTCTATGTTCCTATGTATGTATAAGTTAAGTAGTGTATCTTTTGTTTCCACTTTTCTACACACGTTTGTTATGTGTCTGTTGAGTCTTGACCTGTACATAGCCCGTCGTGGCATGAATGTACAAATGTACAATAACCTGGTATTTCATTATCCACTGCATTCTGCATCTTTAGGCCACAGCAAGTAGTTTTTATGGATGACATCAACGAGCGCATTAATTTTCGCCTGATTTTGAAAAAAAAAAAAGAAATTTTGTTGCCTTCTGACAGTGGTCAACATGCCGAAAATGGGCAAAGATGTCTGTTGTCATGCCGGAAGGTGGATGGCAGATAACTATGAAGAGAGGAGACAAGAAAAGGCTCTGATTTGATGTTTTGTTTCTTTCTTTGATGCAGTGATATGTGATGCTGGCTGTGTATATGTGATGTTCCTTCTGAATCAAAACCATTTGTACAATGATTCAGTCAAAATTATAAATTGTAGGAGACTTGTTTTTTCGGCCCGCCTGTTTTTTTTCGCCCGCGCCGCTCGCATTAAATTTGGAGTCTGCGGAGGATGTCATCCATAAAATTTACTTGCTGATTTCTGAGGTCTCAAAATTCTTGTTATGAAGTGTTTTAAAACTGTTGATCTAAACTTCTTGTTTTTATCTTCAACAGGAACGTGGCCATCTTTTAATTTGCAAAATGGGCGCTGCGGGTGAGCTTCAGTGCTTGGTGAGTTTTCTGTGGTTGGTTTGTCTAAGTTTGAGCCTGGGTTCGGTGACGTGGGAGGGCCATAGTTCAGACAAGAGACCTGTTGTTATCATGGACGACATTTTGCCACGCGACTCTGTAAAAGGTATACGGGGATACATGTTACGGCTGGCCTGGACATTCAGCATCAGGGATGACTTCCACACATTCGACTCCAACAACTTCCTGAACAGTTCTGATCACGGCAACTACACGAACGCCCCCTGGCAATCCACCCTGCCCACTGCAGCTTTCCGCGAGAGCAAATCGTGGCGGGCGATGAACACCTTTCTGAAGGAAAAGCGCGGGAAAGATTTCAGACCTACCGATGTGAGGGGGTACATTCTCAACCGGGGCGACTTCCCCTTGTACCAGAATCGTTGCGTGGACGAGGAGGACTACAGAGTCGTGGTGTTTCTGAACGACGTTTGGCGGAAGAATTGGTACGGACATCTTACCATACACGACGAGCTCGGGCGAATGCATGCGGCGCATCCCAGGTACGGTCGTGTGGTCTTCGTGCCGTGCGACTTGAGTTTCGTCATGAAGCCTCCCGCCATGCAGTTCGCTCCCGCCCTGTACGCTTTGGTTGTCATGGCAACGTCGCGACAGACGACAGAAGAGATTGGGGACAATTTCTCCGATAAAATGGTGGACGTTGGAAGTCTGACTGAGGAGGAGTTCCCTGATGAGGAGGACTTCCCACAACCAGACGAAGGAGGCCGCCGAGAAATAGACGTGGAAAAACACGTCACAAGAAGGTGCGTATTAAAGCTGATCTTTTTTTTTAAATAATTAGGCCATGTTGATTTGATTATATGGATGACATCCGCGCGCGCATGAATTTTCGGCCGTTTCAAAAAAAAAAAGTTTTCAACCATACTGTAAATCGTACAAAACAGTTGCAAAATGAGCAAAAATTTACAAGAGTTACAAAAAAATAAGTAAAAACTATACCAATGTCGTAGAATGCCAAAATCAAACGAGAAAAGACGAAATTGTAAGGAAATGAACTTGAAGATTAGATTATTCGCCAAACCATATTCTGTCCCATTTGTTCAACCCTCATGACCACGTAGATTTCATAATGAAAACAACTTTTTTTTTTGCAAAACTTTTTTTTTATTCGCACGCGCGCATCAGTTTTGGGGCTCCCGGAGGATGTCATCCATATAATCAAATCAACATGGCCTTATTTCTTTTTTTTATTTACTTCATATACACCACAAAGCTCATAAGAGCCACTCAAATGTTTTGGGTTACTGTACTAGACAGTGAGTCTTAATTGACTTGAATCTGTGATCGCTGAGCTAAAAGAGGCAAACAAAACACGCAAAAGTAAAAAAAGAAAGCCGTCATTTATAAGATTCCTAGATTGACCTGTGAAGTGTTTGGTCACTCAGTGGTCGCTTGACCCCTTTCCACTGAATGACGATCACTGAGTGACCAAAAGTGGATTTGTGTAACCCTTGATTTTATGATTGGTATACTAGTATGATGTACGATATCTATGATTAAAAAGGCATCGAAAATTTGTTCTTGTGTGAAATTTGTTGTACGATCTATCAAATATTGGGTCGCACAGCGGTCGAAATTGTGGCATTGTATTAGGTAAAATATGTTTTCCTGAATCTGTGTGTTGTTACCTTCGCCAAGAAGGTTATGTTTTCAGTAGCGTTTGTCTGTGTGTGGGTATGTATGTGTGTTTGTGTGTGTGTGGTTTAGCAAGATAACTCGAGAAGCAGTAAATGGTTGGAATGAAACTTGGTAGGTGGGTAGGTCTTCATGAGACCTAGAAATGATTAGATTTTGGGCCCCCTGGCGGCTTTCCTAGGTACTGCAGCTGAACTTCCGGTTTTGATATCTCATGTTCTGGACATGCTAGGGTCACGAATTTTGGTTGGTAGATAGCTCTTGTGGTAGGGAAGAAGTGACGTCGAGTTTGGGTCCCTAGCGCCTTGTTCTGGAACTGCAGGAGCATTTGTTGAAAAAATTTGAAGGACGATAACTCAAGAACCGGTTGACGTATTGTCGTGATTTTTGGTATGTAAGTAGTATAAGTGATGCTTGACATGATCAGATGGCAATTATGCAAATCAGGCGCTAATTTGCATAATTAATGAGGAAATTCTATAACTCTGCTTTGTTCGATAATAGAACTATGAAACACTTGTGACATCTACTTGAGAACGAGAAAAACATCTGAGGATATATATTATGTAAATGAGGACCTAATTTGCATAATTAATAGAAAATTATTATAATTTCATAGTTGTAACTGCTGCACCCCGAATTTCATACTTGCCACATTTGGAAGTTAAGTGAAGGTGAACATCAACAAACATAATTTATTCAAATCATGACCTCATTTGCATAATTTATGAGGAAGTGCTAAAATAGCCTTTTTGTTATGATAAGGTTGTCATTGGATGAAGAATATGATCAACTGACATAGTCCATGCAAATGAGGCTCTTATTTACAAAATCAATGATTAAAATTGTATAATTCGTCACCCGCAAGGGTTAACCTCATTTGGCGAAGGTATGAGATTGTGGAACTCTTGTTTTATTTTCTGCTAGGTTCAGCCTACCTGACGGCAGAACCATCACTGTTCTGGATAATGTCTTCACTCCCGACGAAATTCTCACGCTGACCGACTACCTGGCCGCGAACTGTACCTACATGGACCAGGGTCCGACTGAGGGCTCTGATAATGTTCGCTGGATCACAGGTATGTACCTGTAGGGAGTAAGAAATTAGCATTCACCAATTTCACACTTCCCATAATGCCTAGTAGAGATCACGGATATGGATGGGATATGACGTAAGAAGGGGATTTACGTAATGCGACCTTGCGAGTAGGAGAGTCTTCGGTAGAAGGTAGAACTATAGAAGGTACGTCATTTTCTCTAATTCCAACAAAAATGCAATTATGACATGCGCCTTATACTAGATAGATAATTCAAAACAATATAGTTGACCAGCTTGTCGATAGAACTGTTGGAAATATTACGTCGGGGAAGGGGGTTGGTCATACGTCATATCCGTGATCTTTACTAGGCATTATGGGAAGTGTGAAATTGGTGAATTGGTCGGAGACATGCCTCAAAATTGAGGCTGCCATCTTGCCTTTTATCTAAGGAAATATGAAAATGGGAACGATATTTTGTACACAAGGCAATTCAAAGTTTTGTTTTTTTATCGGTGGAAGGTTCTGAGTGTGTGACAGGGGCTTTATAGAGGACGTTCTTCTTCCCTTGCGACAGGTTTCAGTATTGACGCGTTCGTTAAGAGTTACTTCTGGCGGGCCAGTCGTGAGATCGTGAGCCACGTGAGCGGGAAGAGCGGGTTCTACCCGTACGACGTGGCGCTGAACCTGATCCGCCTGGCCGACCACACCAAGATCCACGACGACTGTGAGTACGGCGAGGACGAGTACACGCTGCTGCTCTACCTCAACAGGGACTGGGAGGTAAGGCATAGCGACTAGCTTAAGCCTTGGTCACAACCCGCCGTACGTGCTTCTGCGTGCTGTCTACGTGCAAAAACGTGGGAAAACGTAGGGCATCCCTGCGTGGTGAGTACCACCTCCGTACGGAGTCCTACGGATTTGGGAGCACGCAGACACGCCGTAGAACTGTAAGTGCATGTAAAAGTTTTCATGTGTGCGTTCTGCGGATTCACCACCCGTATGTGCGACGCGCGTGTCCTGTACAGCCTACGAGCGTACAACGCACGTTAATTCAGAAAAACGTAGCAGACGTGGCTTCCCAAAAAACGTACGGACAAAAAGCACGTACGGTGGGTTGTTACCAAGGCTTTATTAGCACGTACCTGTAAGGGTGTACTTGCTCTTAGTAGTCAGTAGTTCTATTCAACTTTCTGCCAGACCGTTGAACCTATAGCCTCCTTCGCAGACTTCTGAGGTGGCGGCGTTATTTTTTCTCGGGGAGCGACGCGAGTTATGCCGCTGAGGGACGGTTTTGCCGCCGATGGACTTTGCCGGGGAGAGATGGCTTCGCTATGGTTTTACTTGAGTGTATCGTCACATTGCCTGTATCCTTTGGTTTTTGTTGATAAAATAAACAATGCCTCTACCAAGCTACAAATGTTATGAAGCAAGTTTAAAGTGTAATATCCAGCACAAGAAATTGGACTCACCCAAATTTTCGCTACAAATATGGCTAGAAAGAGTACAATATTGGCCAAATAGACGGATTACATGCCATGGGACTTACATACCATGGGTCTGCCGAAGGAGTACAGTTTGCTGCTCTGAAGCTGTCATATACACGCATTTCCCACTGAGAACAATCATATAACAAGGACATGAAAACATACATTGCCATGGCGACGGTGGTTGCTGTTAGGGTTATGGTTTGCATTGCATTGCACTGCCATCATTTCATGATTTTGAGGAAGACTTGGTACCTGTTAAGTCTAGACAGATATAGTTCACTCCTTCCCTGAGTGTATAGTGAACGAGCCCCGGGGTCACAGAAAGTAGAGCCATCCGGGACAGAGAGGTCTTCCCAAGGGTTTCCAGGAATGTGGGCATAAATGTGGGCCAGAGACATGCCTTTGGACATTCCATTCCTGTGGACAAAATGCCTGTACCATTCCTAGAAACCTTGCAAAGTGCACACAATTCTGTACCATTAGGCTCCTCCCTGAGACGTCGCCAAAACGCAGGCGATCTCCTACTGAGGACGTTCAGCATGGCGCTTTGTCGTTAGCTCGTATAAGTAGTGATAACGACCACACACTGTGGTTAACGACCACATATCACCCTCAGGTGGACAAGTTGGGAGAAACTGCGTTCTTTACTGACGATTTCGAGCCGTTCATTGCGGTGAAGCCTGCGTACGGACGTGTTGCCGTCTTCCCCTGCTCCATTCTGCATTCCGCAAGACCGCCCAGCGCTCGGATCAACGGTGAGAACTGATAGACGTTTCATTACCCTCTACCAGGGTACAGAGGGGGCTGGAAAGAGTAGAAATGGGCCAAATAGACAGATAACATGGCAGAGTAGCTAGTCCACTAAAATAGTACAATTTGCCACTATACCAGGCTTTAGAAGCGGCTGGAAGAGTAGAAATTGGACAAATATACAGATAACATGCCAAGTTGCATCTTGTTATGTTTACCGAAGGAAAACATATTGTTTTTACTCAGTTTCTTCCTCCTCTTCTGTTCCAAACACTAACCTCTGACCTGGCCAATGACATGATTTGTTGACGTCTGCCGCCATGGTGACAGGTGTTGGGTTACATAATGTTGCAATTTCATGGTCTGCTCTACTCCTGTCACCATACACTAGTAGTACATGTATGTGAATGTGTTTGAGTAAGAATAAACAGAGCAGACCATGTCCGAAGGTAAACATTGCAAATGTTACTTCTCTAGTTCCATAAATAAAACCATGGGTCACACAAATCTAACTTGGTTGCTCTTCGATTACCCTTTGGTAAAAAGAGGAACCTAGTCAGATACATGCCCTTTTCACATTGTTCATGCCAATGCCTTATACAGTAGCCATTTTACTCTCAAAACTTGAGTGGGGTCGTGTGGCGTTACGGCAGAGTGCTCGACTCGGAACCTAGAGGTCCTGGGTTCGAGTCCTGACATGCCACTGATCTTGTGCCATAGGCACTTAACACGACTTCCCTCACTTCGCTTAGGTGAAAATGACTATTGTATTGTCCCCTGTGTTGGTGGCGACATTAATATAAGTTGAAAAAACTTGAGTGTGCCGTCACCACGTCTTGTGATTACATGTTGGAAATTTAAAAAAAAATGCCTTTTAAACTCCGCAGGTGCTAGGTACAGTTTCGCCCTGAAGCTGTCTCCCAGTCTGGGGTCAGGACGAGCGCGGGAACTACGAGACGACACCGACGAGTTGAGAGAACAGATGGAAGACTTGGAAGACTTCCTGTCTCCCGAAGAAAAGGCCGAGATTTTAAAGGCTTTGAAAGACGCAAAAAACGGAAACGGTGACGAAAAACTAGTGGCCATTTTACTCTCAAACCTTGAGTGGAGAAACAAGCAGAGATATTTGTCGTATATTTGATAGGAGTAGCTTTATGGTGTCAGCAGCATTTGTTTGAAGTCCACACCAATTTAATTTCTTGGTTAACGGATTTTTCTAGAAAAATAATGGAGCGGGCGGGAGAAAAAATAAATAAATAAAAACAGGCCTAGGCATCCTATTATGGCCCAAAATGGTATGGTAGGAGCCATGAAGTCAACACACCAGGCTGGTTCAAAATTTAAACAATGAATTTTGAACTTTTAATGATACCATTGCATTGAAAGATGGAATAGCTGTAACAACTAGGATGAAAGGGACTGTTTTCAACTGTTCAGGTCAAAATATGAGCATTTTACAGTTGATTCTGAATTTCTATTTTTATTTGCAAATCAGAAAAAAATGAAGCGGGCGAATCCGTTAACCAAGAAATTAAATTGGTGTGGCCTTAGTTGGTGGTTGTACTATGTACTAGTTTTACAGAGCTGTGTTTTTTTTATTTCGATGTTGGTGTAAGATTTTTTTAAGGCAGATCGGTGTAGCAAAACACGTTTTATTTTATATTATATCACTTCAGGTCGTTTATATTGGTCATCTCTTGTTAGTGCTATGCTTATTCAGAATTGGTTGTTGGTTGTCATTTTAGCTGTACTGGGAACATATTAGTGTCCGCAATTGGCCCGAAATAAAGCTTTTCATATGCAAAAAGAAACAACGACCCTTCCTAGTCGGTCCAAATACCACATTGCCGAAGGCCAGCTCAAAACCAAGTACCCAGGGAATGCATTCGTGGAATTTTTAAAATTCTTTCAAAGCGATCGTAGTACGGACACCATGCTGCTAAGGCGTGATTTCATGTTGGAATTTTAAAAAAAAACTGTTGTTGTTTTCCGTTCCATTTTAGTAACGTTCACATCAACATTTGCATCAATGGAAATCCACAATGCTTTATAATGATTACACATAATAATACGTCTGATAGCATTTCTGGGTCTTCTTACCTGGGCTGCAGCCAAAAAGGGCGGCCAGGGTTAGTACTGACAGGAACACACACACCGCCATCTTGGTCGATCTCAGTCGTGGAGCTCACGCCAAACCCAAAGCTTTAACGTTACCCAACATTTCAGAGACACCAGGAATCGGAGGAACGCCGAGGTCATCCCTATCTACAGTCATGCCTGGACGGTCAACCACCTGGCGAAGTCAGCCACCTCCAGTAATACGTCACGTTAGTTAATTAAGTAAGTATTAAGTAAGTAATGACAAGAAGGTCATTGGTGGCCTATGCTAGAGAGACAGAGAGAAGTAATGACTAATACAATTATCGTAAAAAGTTGAACTTTATTCCAACACACAGTTTACCGAGAGATCAAATTTTCAGCGACCACTGTCGCCTTCATCAGGATAACAATTATCTGCACTCACTCTCAACGCTTATCATAGAGAGACAAGAAGGCGAAGTGGGCTTGGTAAGTTTAATGTTTGAAAACATGAGAATCCACCAAGACCAAGCCCGGAGGGAAGAAGAGAGGCGAGGAGGGGGAGAGTGCGGTAACCGTAGTTAGAGGGGCGTAACGAAACAATATCGATAAAAGTTTGGAAGCTAACAGTGCCGGCTGGGCGGACGAAAAGCTAGGTTGTATTGAACAAACAGGAGGACTAAAGAGCTAGGTTGTATGGGACAAACAATAGTCATAAACAACGAAGCTACGGGAGACTAACTAGTAGGTTGTACTGGATAAAACAAAACAACAGCGATAAAAACATTCATAAATAACAGTACTGGGTGAAATGACTAAAAAGCTAGGTTGCACTGGATAAGACTACAGTCATAAAACATTCGTAAGTAAAAGCACTGTAACGCGTTAGTAGTATAAACTGACGGGATTGTCTAAACATAAAGCAGGAGAACTAGTGGCCAGCAAGCCATGATCTAGGCGACGTCCTGCGCCGAGTACAGTGGAACTAATCAAGTAGGAGATCTTCCTGTACAATGCTAGCAAAGCTCTGAAGGTACTAGTAACATACTACTGGGACAGCACGAGACCGGTATAAAGGTCCGGCTACGTAATTAATTTTGACTGGACAAGCAACAGCGATAAATATGTGCAGAAATAACAGTGCTGTGTGAGACTGACTAGGGTTTACAGGGCCGAAAAAGGCGATAAAATATGCATAAGTAAAGCGCGATGTGAGATCGACTGCAATACTAGGGTGTACTGGACAAGACGGCAGTGAGAAAACCTTCAGAAGTAACAGTACTGGAACACATGGGTGCGTTGAACGGGAGGTATCGGAATGTAAATAACAAGAGAACAAAGACTAGAAAGAAGGTCCTGTGGAGTGTTCCAGGCGTGAAGCGGTGGCCCTGGGATGACGATGGAGCCGACAAGCCGGGGTTTTCGGTTGAGACGAGGTCACGGAGGCTAGCAGGTGAGCTGAGATGGCCGAGGTTGACGGTCGAGCCGAGAGGACCGAGGTCGGAAGCTGAGCCGAGACGACACAACGTTGGCGTTTGTGCCTAGGGGACACGAAGCCCGCGGCCGGAGGTTGGCGGGTGAGCCGAGATGACACGAGTCTGGCGTTCAAGCTTAGACGATACTAACCCGGGGG